CTGTTACTCTTACTAGTTTATAATTATTAACTAATATAGACTAAGAAGTACTTCTTTCTTCTAATTCTTCTATTTGGGTTATTATGAGAGCCTTGTATTTAAACTTTTTAATTCTTATTATTTATGCTTTTTTGAATCTTCTGAAAATATATTTAAGTTCCTTCTTATTTATATCTGCTAGCAGATTCCAAATTGTTATATGTTTTATATTTTTTGCTTCTTCTTCCTCTATGTTTGTATATTCTTCTTTTATTTCTTCTTTAATTTTCTCTTTTTTATAATTCTTTTTTTATATTCTATTATACTACATCTGTTATTTTGATATTTATTATTGTACTTCTTTTATTCTGTTCTTCTTCTTTTTTTGACCTTTTTTGGTATTATTTTGTACCAATCACTTTCTTTTTTACTTATTTTTTGTATTGCTTTATTTCTATTATACTTCCAGTCAAAGTCTATTTCAATTTACAGATTTTTTGTTTGAAGGTTTCTTTAATATTCTTAATATATTCATTGTCTTTTAGTACTATTTAATAAACTTTACATATTCTTCTTCCATTTCTTTAGGCCATTATGTGCCAGTATATTAGTGAGTAGACTGTTATTTTTGTTGCAATTTCTTTTGCTTGGTGCTTACATGCTTTCTTTTCACAGAATTTTAACTGTTTATTTCTCTTTTTACTACTTGCTTTTTTCTTTTTTTTTTTCTTTTTCTTTTGATGTTAAATCTTGTCTTGATTTTTTAACATCTATTTTTATATCCTTTTGTTCTACTTCTCTTGTTTGTTCTTTTCTTGATTCTTTTTTTTGCACAAGTGGTTCTTTTTTTGTTTGGTCTATACTTTTATTACTTACCTTCATTTTTGCTTTTTTCTTTATAATAATGTCTTTTTTTTGTAGTTTTCTTTTGCTTGTATTGTCTTCTTCTGCTTGTTTTTTGATTTTTTTTTTGTTTTATGTCTGTCTTCTTACTTTTCTTCTTTTTTAATTATTTTTTGTTGCACTACTTCTCTATTTTCTTGTTCTTGAATTTTTTCAAGTTCAAATATCATTATATTCTTATCTGCTTTTGTAAAGTTTAGCTTCTTTTTTGATTATTTTCTTTCTGTTTTTTAATTAATTTTTTGGTTTTTCTTAATAGTGCAACTTCTGCTAGGCTTTGCTTTATAAGCATGACAACAATTTTATTTTTTCTGTTTGGTATTATATATATACTATTTAACTAATTAAAAAATATTTTATTATGTATTCTATTTATTGCCCAGTATACTCTTTTCATAAAAATTGTTGATAGACTTTTTTCATACTTCATTAATTCTATATTTTATTTATAACTATATATTTCTAATTGGTTTTTAAATTTCTTTTGTTACTTTGCTTATCTATATATAGAATTTCATATGTATTAATATGTGATTTGTGATATCTATACTAATTTGACAGCTTGCATATGTCTGTTGTTGTTTTAATATTATATGTCTTTTGTGTAATATAAACAGATCTATGGTACAGGGTCTAATGACAATTTCCTACTATTGTCATTTTTTGGTAAGTTTTTTGCTTTTTTCTTAGTAGCTAGTCTATTGGTTTTGCAAGTAGACTTTTTTTCTATTAGTATATTGTTTTCTATATTGCTGCTTCTTTTTACTTAGAGTTACTTAAGATGTTTCCTATTACTAATTTTGTTAAAATCTTTTTTTTTCCTTTAGCTATTCTTGTGTCCAAATGATTAATAAGAAAAGTTTGTAAAATAAAATTAAATAATAAAATTTAATTATTAAAAGAAAAATCTAAATAATTTTAAGATTAATTAACTATAAAATACAAATTTATAAAATAATTTCAAGCCAAGTTAAATATATATTTAAACATTTATATTTGATTGTATAATATGTTATTTATTTTATTTTTTTAAAATATTAAAATATGTTATTTATTTATAATAGTATAGTATATAATTATATATAAAAAATTATATTTTAGTTATAATATGCCTTAAACTAAAACATGCCTTTAGAAATATATTTAAATAATTTTATATATTTTTTATTTTAATATAAAGATAGGCAATCATTAAACTGTTTTTGACAATCCTTTAGCCAACAACAACAATAAACTGAACTATAGAAAAATATTATAGAAAGGTTAAGAAAGAAAATATTTTTGATTTTACATAAAGTAGATTTTTGTTAACAAAGCCAAAATAGATGTGAAACACTAAAAAGCAGGCATACTTGTGGTTGTTTGAAAAGAGGCCAAGCTTTTCTTCTTGGTAAACTCCTCTCTCCATTTAGCATCCAAACTAGAAGAATATTTTAAGAATAATTATAAAACAATCTAAGTTAGAACTATTAGAAACTTGGAGCAATTACTATACAACTATAAAACTTACTTGAAAAATCATATATAAAAATTGTTGCTCTCTACTTTTCTTTAAAAAAAATTTTGTAAAGTAGGCAATTTAGTTTATTTTCTCCAAAAAATCAATATATAAAATTACCAAAACAGTTATTAGTATTTACTTTTTAAACTGAATTAGTATTATATAGATTAGAAACAATACAGCAACACAAATATAACTCATACATGTGCCTCAAACTGCTAAAACTTTGTGAAATACTGCTTCTGTACTAACCAGTGACCTATGCTAACTTTCTATATTCAAGTTAAAGTTTTATTCTATATGGTTTTTATTATATATGGTTTTTATTATATATTCTAAGTAAATAGATAAATAGTAAAGTTAATTCTATTTAGTATAGTTTATAATTTTTAAAAACTCAACAAAGGCTTATAATTATGACTATCCATATAAGAGTCATATATATATTTTTTTTGTTTTTTTGTTTTTTTCTTTATTTCTTATATTGTATCTTTTATTATCTTTTCTTATACCTCTGTGTTTTTTTATATAATTTTTTTTTGTTTTTGTTCATTTTTCTACAAAAAGATATTATCAAATTGGCAACATCCTATTGTAGAGTAGTAGTTATATGCAGCCCTTGGTGTACTTTAACTTTTTATGAAGTTAGACAGTTAGTACAAGCAGATCACTTATAAGGCTCATAGAAGTATTTGCAAGATGTTAGGCCAAAAAATTATACAAAATTTTGTATGTATATATGCAAAAAATTATAATAAAGATAAACTAGCAAGATTGCTCAAGTGAAGAAAAAATATATATATATAAAGATAGACAATAAAATAATATATAATATATAATTATTACAAATTAATCTTATAATTTGTTATATGAAATTTTTAAATTAAACTTTTTTAATTATCATTTATGATAATTATTACTTATTATATAATTATAATTTATATAAAGAATTGCTATTTCCACCCCTATTTTTGCTAATGCCACCCTCCAAAATACATAAAAGTGCTCTGGAAGAGATATTATTATTACGTAAACCTCCCTTTTAGTATTAATTAAAGTTGTTCATTAGGTCTTTCCGGTTCTAATGGTAGTAAAATCACTAAGTTTGGACCGGTGGTTCTTGCAATATTTATATCTAAAGTTTATAATCTTTAATCTACTTTTAAAAAAGAACTACCGGTCTGATTTTAATAATTTTACCATCATTAGAACCGGAAAGGTCTAATGAACAACTTTAATTAATACCAAAAAAGAGGTTTACTTAATAATAATATCTCTTCCGGAGCACTTTTATGTATTTTTGGGGGATGGCATTAGCAAAAATGGGAGATGAAAATAGCAACTCTCTTTATATAATATATAATATATATATTTAATAATTATTAATATAAACAAATTTATATAAATAATATTTTAGCTTAAAACTAATTAATTCTAATCCTAAACTAATTCTAATCTGTAACTAATCTGATTCTTAACTTTAACTTTAACTGTAACTAACCTGATTCTTAATCCTAACTATAATCTGTAACTAACCTGATTCTTAACTCTAACTATAACTTGTAACTAACTCAATTCTTAATCCTAATTTATAACTAAAGCCCAAATTCTAATCCTAAACTAATTTAAAACTAATTTCATTAACTTTTATATATGTGACACTAAGAAAAAAGAGATCTTGACAATTATAGCATATTATTAATCAATTATTAAGTCTAGCAACAGTGCAGATTAAGCTTTTAATTATATAATGTAATTGATTACAATTTATACTAAATTTTTATATAAATAGTATAAAATTAAAAAACTGAACTGCATTATTGCTAAACTTAATCATTAATTAGTAATATAATATAATTGCTAAGATGTTTTTTTTAATATCATTCATATAGTAATTCAAAAATAATTTGTTTTTAATCAGATGTTAATAATTTAATACTTACTTGAGTAGCATGTTTATAGTAGCAATACAGTAAATGATCATTTGAAATCTTTGCTATATTATTCTTAAGTTAATAACTAAATAATAGGTAATACTTATCTAACAACTTTATGTTTTTCTAAAAAAAAAAATTATTACTAGATAACAGAATAGTAAGCTATCAAAATTATAAGTTATTATAATTTTAAAAGTTATTTTGCTTAATTGTAAATAAATTATTACTAAACTTTTAAATTAATTGCAAATATTTAGATTATACATAATTACTATAAATTATATCAATTGCAATAAATTATATTTTATCACTATTTATACTAATTTTATAAAATGTCAATTATTGCTATAAATTATGTTTTACTAATATTCATGCCACTTATATAGATATACAATTATTGCTATAAACTTATATTCTAGTATTATATTGCTTATATGTATATTTATTATATTTTATAACTTTTATTATTTGTATATACATGTGTTATATTTGGTTAGAGGTCTGCAAATTGCCTATTTTTGAGACTCAGCTTGGTTTATATTTAGGATTAAAATTTTTTTGCTAGCCTAGTCTAGCCCAGCCCATATTTAGGATTAAAACTTTTTTGCTAGTCTAACCCAGTCTGGTTTGATTCAGTCTGCAAAATTTTTTATATAATTTTGCAAAATTTTAGACCTAACCTAGTTTACAAATTTTGTAGACCAGGCTGAACTAGAACAGATTGTAGAACCCAATGCAGGTCTTTATGTTTAATTCTATTATAAATATTGCATATATATATTTTTTTACTTTTTTTTGTGTTGTTTGCTAATTGATTATTATTTGAATCAACATTTAAAAAAGATATTTTATTAAAATTTTGAGATATAGTTATTTGATTATATGTTAACCTTTCATGATTTTGCAACTTAGAAGAACTTTTTAATCTTTTTATTAGTGACTGTCTACAATATTTTACAACTAAAGAATCTATTATAACTAGTTTTTCAAGTTGATCAAGTTGTGCATTTATATTATTAATATTTTTAACAAACATCTTCTGGTTAACAAAATAAGTAATCTTATTAATTAGCTCTTTCTTATACCTAATATCCAATGCAACATTAAAAGCCTTTTTTATTTTATTGAACATATTTGCATATTTAATTTTTTTGTTAACTACTTGTTAATATTTAGTATTATGCATATTAGAGCCTCAAAGTTGTTTAATAATATAAAAATCTAAAATTATAATATTTATATCTTTTTGTTAAAGCATCATTGAAATATTAATGCTTTGATACTGTAATGTTATTATTTATTTTTTTTTGCTATTCATCTTTGTATCAATGCTATGCCACCAGTTTAATATAAAATCTTGCTATTTTAATATTAATTATAACTTGAAAGAAATAGGCATATACAATACTGTGATTGATAATAGACATGCATATAGATAGACAACTTCTGTCTTGCAACAATATAATGTAATACTTATAAACTATTAATAACCCTATAAGCTCTCAAATTTTAATATTATTTGGATCAATATTTTTTATAAGATCTATAATAAAAATTTGAGGCCTATTAAGACCAATTCTTCAAAAAACCAATGTTATAATTTATTTGAAATTTTTTTGTTGTATAAAAAAAAAAAAACTTAAACTTATATTATTAATTAATTAAATACAAAAAAACAAATCTGTCAAATCTGTAACTTTAAAATATCTTTTTTTAAACATAGTTGCACCTTATATAAAAGTAAATCAGCAATTTGTTGCTGCTATATAGCTAATATATAAGGTGTTAAGTACAATTTAAAAATTTTTTAGAACATTTAGAAATATTGATTTAATAACTGATAGAGCTTGATTAGTAAAAAGTGAATTCAAATAATTATTATACTATGTCTACTTTGCTTTATTATCTAAAATATTTTGCATACTTTTATAAAGATTATGCAAAAAGCATATGTTTCTTATATCCTCTTTAATCAACCTGTTTATTACTTTAACATACTGAGTACTTTGAACATCTTCTATAAAGCATTTTAGCTAATAATACTAAGTTTATGCCTTATACTTCTTTGTAATATTTTGTTAAAATAGTTTTGTATTTAAGAATATTTATTTAATAAATATAACTATTTTTGATTAAAATCCTCTTCAGATATACTATTTTGTGTATGTAAAAATTTTTTATAAAATTCATCAAATTGACTTTCAAGTTTACTTAACAAATTTTTGCGAATATTTTTCTGAATATTATATATGTATAAAAAATAATATATAAGAGTAAGTTAGTAGAAATGCACTATATCATTTTTAATAAAATTTTTTTGAATCTTTAAACAAAAATAACTTAGCAAATACTTAATCAAATTTAATAAAAATTTTTTTAAATAAATTCTATAAGTTTTTATAGTTGTTTTAAAAAAATTTTTATTAAATTTGATTAAGTTGTTGTTGAGATATATTTGTTTAAAGTTTTAAAAAAATTTACTTATAAAAAATATGGTGCATTTCTACTGACTTACCCCTATATATTAAAAAGTTTTAAAATAATAGCACTGCCTAATGCTAGTTCAGCATTAAAAAATAAAACTACTAAAGATACATTATTTGTTATATTCAAAATATATTCAATAAACTATTTATATAACTTAGTTATCTTATCATCTAATAATGTTTAAGCTACTAATCGACTCTTTATATTATTATTTTTTTTTTTAAAAATTAAGGTGGGTACTTGCAACCCAGGATCTTATTGATAGTACATTCAGCTAATGGTTCTATTACAACCACACAAGCCTA